GTGCGTTTCTTTAAGTCTTCCTACCAATATGACCGAGTTGCGAAAACAAGGTCAAACAACTTCTATTAGAAAATTGAAACCTGACGATTTTATAAAGACAGTATGAGAGTATCAACTGGGTCAATTGGCTGGAGGATGTGGGGTCATCATGGGGCGACTAACATTTCATGCAGCGTTTCTGATCAGATAAAGTGAAGGCAGGACACAAACATTCGAGTTCATTGAAACACTTACCTTAATAGCTAGTTCTTTCGAAGGGAGGGCTATTGTTTTTAGTTTGTCTTGTATGATCAAACTTCCTTTGTCTCATGAAGATATTGTCAACTTGGGGTTTGATGATAATGCCAGCCTCGACTCGGTTTCATGTTAGGAATCCAAATTAAGTTATCGATTTCCCATAGTCCCATGACTCCCAAAAGATAGAATTTATTAGACCAAGAGTGGCCTCCATTAAGATGGAATCAAAAGATAGAAAATGGCTTGTAGACAATGATGCTGCGTGAAACTTCTCAAGGCAATGGTCCGCAAGTCAATAGGAGGCGGTGGTTGCTGCAAATCGAACAGGAAGACAACTCCTATGGGCTTTCGTCCCTGTCCCTGTAGTGACCCAGCAAAACTCTCACTCGTTACACCATTGAGTTTCGAAACATGCCTTTGGCATATTTCTCCCAACATGTCATCCTTAACAAAAAAACCCTATGAACTGAGATTTGAGCTTTCTCACTATGAGACAAATAGGCTTCAGGATGCTATTGAATTGCATTTGGCCTTAACTTCTGTAAGTTATTCTTATCCAGGCTTTACTGGACTGCAGTTTCGACCTCAATGAGATTTGATACTAGGTCGTCAATTGCAATGGAAAATACATGTTTGCTTACTCAAAACTCCAACTATAAACGGGAATTGGCTGTAGATCACTGGCATCAGTGGCTGAATAGAGGGGTGAAGACGTCATCACAATACACACGACAATGTATCAAACCCGGTTTGGGCTGCTGATGATGCTGGATGACGTAATCTTTTGTGGAGCGCAATGGCAATCTGGGGCCTGCTCATCTGATTGTGGGAAAACTCAACTACCACCTTAGGAAGGATGAGTAAGTTATTATTGGACGGTTGAACAGAAAATCGGTCAAGGGGATTGCCTCGACGTGTCATTTTGATCAATCGTAACTGTGCAGACGATGGCACCTCTCACAGACGATGTCGGCGAAACGTTTGGGAATGTACCAAGTCAATGGCCCGATGCCGGAAATCACGAATAATATGGCAGAGGACAGAGGACCAGTTACGTTCCACAAGGTCTCTCTGACGTTCCGAGCGAATTGCGAAAACGAGTTCGAGCCAACACTATGAAGCTAGAGGAGACTGCAACCTGAGAGGAGGCTACACCAGCTCGGTCTTCATATCGACGGTATTATTCGAGAATTAGCATTAGTCTTGAAATCTACCTACAATGAAATAAAAACGACATGAGAATATCTAGTCCTGACTAATCTGGCAATCGACCTATCACTTTTCGCCAGCCATATCGGGGCTACTATTGGACCACGCATTATTGATCTCTCACATCAACTATAGTCAGGCCTTGGCAAATCAGAAGCCGAAGTTTACTGCGCCCACGACAGTAAGCAGTAGGAACTCGTGACAAAATTCGCGTCTCCGCAGGCCCTTTTCTTTTTTGGCTGCGCCACATGCCATCGCGTTTTAGGCTTGCGGTTGTGCATTGGCTTCTTGCCTCAACGCATCGACTGTAGAAGGTCCCAGCTCTCGGCCCTACGGAGCCTCAAGAACCTCGTCAATAGCTGTACTCTTCTCCATCTCACTGCGTCTGATCGGTGCCATTCCCACGTGTGTCGCCTCTATTTCCTCACGAATCTGTATCAGTATCATGGCAAACACGGTTGGACCGCGCTCATCCAGAGTGTGTTTACGAAACCATCTTGTCGTTGCTTAAACGTCTATAGACCTACCTCGACTCTGCTGCAACTAAATAGTCTTGTCGAATAGCTGACGTCACATGAACGCCGCATCTACGCTTTTATCTCCGTCATATTCCATCATGGCATCTCTTCTCAGTATCTGGTCAACTCTAGTATGCCGTATCAGTTTACCCATTCCGACCAACCCCTCCTGTACATTCGAAGTAGATGGGGATTTCGAAGATTCTCCTGAGATGAGATTGTTGTGAAGACTTTCATTTCGTACGGAAGTACAAGATGAAGAGATTCGTAGGTTAATCTCACTAGAAGAGGCCGGTTGATTCGCATTCTACTGCAGCTTGATGCACTCCACGAGACCTCCTCCGACGATTCGGGCGAAGATGGGCTGAACTTTTGTTCGTCCTATCACGAACATCATCAGACATCGTGGCAAGACATGGCTGACGATTTGGGTGAAGCTAGGGGGTTCATTATAATAAGCTAAATAAGGTGGGTATTAGGATTAGTTCAAAAGGACCTTGTG